TTTCTATATTTGGAAAGGGATACGGAAAAAGTGACGATCCAAGACAAGGATACATACTTTGTTTCATAATAGCAGAATGCTTTATATTGATCGGTGAGCCACGTAAAACTATTATTTTTAATATAACAGATGGACCCATAGAATCTCTGGAGGGTGGCAGAAAAACTACGCAAAAGATTTCTTTGTGTTTATTTTTTCAATGACGAATACGCTGGATTTTTTCTTATGCCTTTTTTGAATTCTACTATAGCCTTCCCAGAAGTTTCTAATATTCCACCTCTAACGCATAATCTATGTGTTAATGTCAGCACAGTATATTATATGTAATTACATTATACATATTTTTACATGCAGCTCAACTGAATGCCGTGGCTACTCTTACATCTATGTTCTTCTTAATGACGTACGCCATAATTAATTATGCTGTGTTTTCAGCCGCAATGGCCAAATCACCAGGTAAGAAGCAGACGCTAGTTTATTTTTGCCAAATCACCAGGTAAGAAACAGACGGTAGTTTATTTTTGCCAAACGCCGCTTAATATAAGGCGTTACTCGGTGTTGAATGTGACTCCAACTTGAATGAATGACGCTGCATTTGTATTTAATTACTTGATCTTGCGTAATACGTTTACTCGCGTCACGTCACTTCGAGATAGGCTTAAATTGTCGACACAGCGTCTAAGCATATTGATGCTCCCGATTGATCCCAATACACTAGTAATCGATTCACAAACGACAACAGCGTATAACACAGTGAGCCAATCAAATAATTCATTGATATATTTATTTATTTATAAATAAATTTAATTATTTGTGCGCAGTAAACAACTTTAATGAGCACAATATCAAAACAAAAGTAAGTAAACAAAATAAAATAAGTCAAATTTTGACAGTATATGTTATTAGTGACGTAGTCGTCGCATACAATATGTGAGCAGAGATGTAAAGACCCGAAATAATTAAAGATGAAATAACTTTTAAATGTCTGGTTACCTAACTTTACTACAAATAATTGTCAATGTGTTACACACGTAATATTTGCTTAAAACCCACAGTCTTTATATAATAATGCTGTTTTTTTTTCAGGATTTCGTCCTTCATTCACTTACTTCAACAAATGGGTGGCACTGATAGCTGCGGTATTGTGTATTGGATCAAGTTTTATAATTAATTGGATACTGACGTTAGGTACCTTGGTGTTATGTATTGTGCTCTACTTATACGTGGCATACAAGCAGCCAGGTAAATGACATTATATTTGTATGTTGTTCCCCAGACAATATACTCAGCTGTTCAGACCAGAAACGCCATCTAGTGACAAAGCGTGTCCGTGACGTAAATGAGGGTGTTATCAATATCCTTCCCACAGGTCACCTCACTACGCGCGGCCATTTTTCTGCAGTTCTTACATCTGAAAACATATTACAAAAAGTGGGGAAAAACGTATGTGACATTCGAACTATTTATTAATGTCAGACTTCAATAAAAACGTAAATACGAACCAGTTTATCGCGGACTATGTTTTGCAAGGTAATGTTATAGTAGTGAAATGGCGCACGTGATACACTAAAACTGGGACGAAAAAACGTTCTGTTAACATGTATAGTTAGGAAAGAAACATTGAAGGCTAATTTCACTTAAAAGGAGTTTCCTAACATTTCCGTTCATTTTGTATTCTGGTGATTATTCCAATACTATTTCCGCGTTTAACAGCCATACAACACTAAGGTTTTAGTAAGTTTATAAAGTTAGTCATTTATTTACAATCTAATGCTTTGGTATCTAGGAAAGAATTGCACTTTCCAACGCATGTATATTTTATTCGGAGTCATGGCGTGAAACTTTTTATTAAAGTGATTAAAGTTACCGAGTGACTTACGCATAACTTGTAGGTCTTGTAGTTCGCATATATTCGAATATGCAAATGAGTTCTAGCAAAGCTGTTTTGTGCAGTGATGATAAGTAACATGCATCGAACTGTGCGGAGTTCGGGGTGTTATAGAACGCCGCCATGCGTTGAGTATAATTTGTTTGTTTTGTCGAGTACATTGATAAATCACTATAGTTACCGAATCAATTGAGAATTGGAACTCATATCATAGAAATTATGTATATTTTCACGGTATCTCAAATTTGCCACCCATTAATTGTTTCACCTGATTCATTATTTTTTTCCTTTAACTTGTACTAGTCATTATTTCTGGCGCTTAAATTCATCAATATGCATTTGTAAATTCCGGTGAATACTATTTTATTTTGCTTCACTTAATGCAAAGAGATGATCTTGTGTGATCATTTGCGGCTGTTATAATCTATTTACAGTATACTGAATACAAACAAATTAAGATAACAACCAAAGAATATTAGTGATCAGTAATTATCAACAAGTCACTCTTTGTCAGTGACACACTCGTTATACTTCACATGACTGCGTATCTATTTAAACATGGCCGCCGAGATCTCCGCTTGTTTTCTTTCAAACAAAGTTTTATTTTTCCCCTTCATCGCGTCAACTGCCTCCTTGACCTATGTAACGATGGTAATTGTAACAATGGATGACGCAAAGAGTGAAACATTATTTTAGGTTCAAAACTCGTGCGTCGTTCCTCTCCCGCTATCCACGAGATCTTGGCGGCCAACGATCTATTGTTCACTCTCTGATTCTAATTCACTATAGACGTCAACTGGGGATCTTCCAATCAAGCTAGCGTATACAATCAAGCCCTACACACGTCGTTGAAGTTGAACTTTGATATCAAAGAACACGTCAAAAATTTCAGGTGAATACTTACTA